GCTTCATCTAAGCTACTGAAGAGGCCCAGCTCTGACACATTCATTCCATGGAACCTGCAGTTTCCTCCTTGGTTGGAGTTTTAAGTCCAGTGGTTCAGTTGGGGAGATTCCCAAAGAAACATCATCTGAGGTGATCTCAGACCTGATTCTTGTGTGTGCATGCCAATACAGGGTCTGGCACAGTTCGTCGCCCAAATCGGCCTATGCACACACTGGTAGTTGCATTTGCTGGGTTAGTTGTCTCCAGCCCTATCTTCTATGCAAACTAATGTGTGAGGATGTCCAGTCCAATGCTGCCAACTGCATACTCAGTTCCCATGCAAACCAGTGGGAGTTGTAGCCTAGTCAGAGCGACCCACAATGACCCTGCCAGGCCCGCCTCCTGCCCTGGTTCCAGTAGCAGACTACTGGTCCTGACTGTCCCACATCCCATTCGGTTCTCTTTTGTATCAATGGGCTTTGAAGCCTCGTTCAACCCAACCAGCCCCACTATCCAGCCCATACATGAGCTGGTGGGTGCCAATTCCTGTCCAGCCATGCCTGTCCCAGTCCTTGTTTTCATTCTCGACAGTAGAAGTGGCTAACCAAGAGGGAGGTGCCCATTGTTTCCCTAATGAGCCCACTCCCACTCCTGGATCTTGCTCTCTCTAGGTGATTCTGCAGTTTAACTCTACAGAGTTTCCTTCCCACTGTGCCAGCGCTGCCAGCTGATGCTGTGGCAAAACCCAACCAACTCTCACCCCCTCTGGCTTATGCATGTACCAGTAGGTACAGTTTGCCCAGCCTGGCTTGTCCCTGATATAGCTCACATGCAGGCCAACAGGTGTTGTAGCCCTGCCCAGCCTGGTCTGGCCCTGACCCCAACTTTCATGATCACCAGTGGGAATAGTGGCCCAGCAGGGGATCTCCCTGCAGCCCCCTTACTGGGTTTGCCCACTCTCTCCCAGGTCTCACGTGTGCTGGTTGGGTGCTGTGGCCCAGTTTGTTATGGCCCAACTCACCTCTGCATTTGCCAATGGGTGATATGAATTGGTCCAGTCAGGCTCACCCCAGACCTGAGCCAAAGGTAAGCCCATGCGTGCGTACTGTAACCTGGCCTAGTCTGGGCTGCTCTGTTCCTTGGTTCTTGAGCTCACCTGCAGGGATTGTATCCTGACAGAGGGGTTGCCAAACTCCTTCATCAGAACCTCTCCCAGTGTACACACTGGTGGGTTAACAGGCCAGCCCTACTTAATCCATCTCCTGTCTTAGCAGGAACAGTGGCCTTTCCTGGCCAGCCCTTATCCATTCTGGTTCTTATTGTTGGGTGTACAGCCTAGCCTAGTCTGGTCCAAACCCAGACACAGCTCAGACACAGGGACAGAGACCTAGCCCTGCCCATCCTACACCCATGCTGGTTCTCATGAGCTCCAACAGGTGTTGGGAGTCTAGCCCAGTCTTGCACACCCCAGACACAGTCCACATCCATGATGAGGGAGACTGCCTCCATATCCCAACCAGACTGTATTCAATGCTATGAACTCCATGCTCACCCATGAGACCCACAACCCAGCCAGGGCGTCCCCTTGGCTCTCCATCCCGGCCTGATCCAAGCCACAGATCTCATGTGTGCCAGTGATTGCTCTGACCCAGCTTGGCATAGCCCTTCCCCTAACTTGGCCTTTGTCTTTGGATGCTGAAGCCTCGCTTGGCCCAGCAAGCCCTCAGTCCTAATTCTCACCTGTGGGTGCTGCAAACTGGCCCTGCTCAGTCTGCTCTCATCCATGACTCATGCAAACCAGTAGGTTTGGCAGCCTAGTCTAGCATGACCTGCATTCCATCCTGTTTTCTGCATTTGCTAGTGGGCTATGGTTTGCCCCCTTCTAAAACCAACCCACATACTTATTGACAGATGGAGCTACCCTGCCCAGCCTGCCCAATACCCAGGCCTGGACCATGTGCTCATCAGCCTGAGCTATGACCCATTAGGGAAGTCTTCCAGGTTCCCCCACTCAGGCCACTCCCAGACCCAGATCTCAAGCATACCAGTGGGTGGTTGGCCCTCACCCAACATGGCCTGCCCCATCCGTCCTGGCCTTTGTATTAGCTGGTGTGGCCCAGCCCACCCCATACCCTGTTTTAGGGTGCTCATGCAGGTGCTGCAGCCTGGATCTGCCCTGCTTGTTCCCAGCCCCAGCACTGGTGAACATCAGTGAGTTTTATGGTCACACCTAGCTCAGCCCATCACCATTCCAACTCTGAAGCTAACAAGCAGGACTTGTGGTTTCATAAGGTTGGGCCCACATATCCTCCACAGAATCTACCCCTGGACCTGGTTTTCTTGTGTGCTGGTTGGTGTCACAGCCCAGTCTAATATGGCCCATCCCCTGATCTGACATTCACTGTCAGGTACTGGGATCTAGCCCTGACAGACAGCACAAGCCATAGTTTACTTGTGTGCTGGCATGTGGTGGTCAGCAATGTTCCATGCTTACAAGCCCAAACTGGGACATCCAAGTGGGCTGGTGCATCAGTCTGACTCAAAAATATCTTCAGGTCTCTCCCTTCTAAATTACCAGGTTTCAGTGTCCTTGCTTACCTGCAAGTACAGTAGCCCTGTCATTGGGTGTCCCTCAGGATTCATTCCTCACCTACATATACTGTGGCCTTATCTATGGATGTCCTTAGGTAGTAATTCCATATTCCCGAGACCCTAGAGCTCGCCGCTGGGTGACCAGAAGGCAGAGCCTAGCACCACATGGCACACTGGCTGCCCACAAGCCCAGGATCCTCCCACAAACCAGCAGCACTGTATGGGGGACTAGGATCCCCAGCAGGAAGTCTGGGCCAGCATGGGGACCCAGATACCCATGCTGTGCTGTTGCTCAGACTTACCTGAACTTTCTCTTTTTTTAAGTAAAGGAATATGGCATAATGGGGGTGTCAAAGAAGCCACTTGTGATTGAGGGCAGTGCAATGACATGGTGGGGGTATGGGACAGGGAAGCAGGAAGCCCCAGGGAAGGTACAGGTGAGTACAGATGACTTTTAAGAAAAAATGGGGGGTGGGGGTGGGGGAAAACAGCAGCAGGAGCTAAAAGGACACAGGGTATCACCACTTTCTTTTTTGAGACAGCCCCCCAAATTGAAAATGGCATCAGTTTTGCCAGGCCCTGTAAGTCTACATGAGTTTCAGGATGAGCACAAAGACAAGTGTTCTGAGAGGACAGATGTGGAACCACAATATTAGAAAGACATCTACTGTCTACTTTAAAACTTGGCTAACTGCAAAACTGGCTTCTGTAAACCAGGCTTGCTTGCTTGCTTGAGCTCCCCTCTACCAAGCAGTATGCAGCACCTAGTCTGTATAAACACTTGCCCACTGGGATGGCTTCACATAACTAATGATGTTATTGTTACTGTTAATGGTGCCTGGCAGTTGGGTTGCAGGTGGTTGACCTTCCCCTTAGCTTCAGATTAGCACTCAGCTATAAAGTTTCCCCTGACAGCCCAGGTCAAAACACAGGTCTTGTACAACCCTGGGAGGAAGACTGCCCAACCTGGAGAAAGATAAGAATTCCTGACAGTTCTCCCTGGTCACATTGTGCCAATACCAGCTTAGGTGACTGGATACTTTTTCATTCCAGTGTGTGCTTAAAATCCCCTAATAGCGGCCCTTGGGCGCTACTCCCCTCTTCCACTTGTGGTGGTGTGGGACAGTCCACCGCCCGGTGCATCAAGACCCCTGAGCTTCCAAGAGTCTGCCTCTGACTCATTTTTGGGATAGATTTTGTCAACTTGCAACATCTCCTTTTTTTTTTTTTTAAAGATGTACTTACTTATTTGACATACAGTTACATAGACAGAGGGGGAGAGAGAGAGAGACTTCCACCCACGGGTTCACTCTCCAAATGGCTGCAGCATTTGGGCCTGGGCCAGATCAGACAGGAACCAGGAGTTTCACCCAGGTCTCCCACATACGTAGCAGAGCTGAAACAGGCCATTCTCTGTGCTTTCCCAGGTGCACCAGCAGTGAGCTGTAGGTAGGGCCATTCCGACTCCAAGCCACAAGCATAAGGGATGCCAGCTTGGCAGGCGTCAGTTTAGCCGCTATATATTTTTCAATTATTAGCTTTTTAAAAATGTTGATTTAAATTTTCTTTTAAACTTAAAAGACAGAGATGGGGGTACCTTCTGTTTCCTGGCTCACTCCCCAGATGCTTGCTGCAGTCAGTCCAGTCCCAAGCCAGGAGCTCCCTGCTGGTCCTACACGTGGGGAAGTCGGGACCCAGGCATCAGGGCCAGCAGATTGCCTCCCAGGGGTGCACAATGCAGGCAGCTGGATAGGAAATGGAGGTCAGAGTGGGACTGGGCACTCCCACAAGGGAGGAGGGGGCCCTGCCAGGCCCAGAAGGGACTAAAGCCCAGCTCACACACTGAAATGCCTTTGCTCAGTCAATGGAGCAAACACACCAAGTGACACCTGAGCATTTCTTCTGCGAATTTCTTCAACAGTGTCCTACCCTTTGGATGCTCCCACAGGGTGGGGCACCTGCAGGGCTATTCACGGGGGACAGCCTCTTCCCTTCAGCCACAGCGGGGCGGTGAAGGCTCCAGGGGCTAAGTCCCTTTCCAGGGTTCAAAGCGCCTCTCTTCCCCTTTTTCACCAGGGACTTTCTGTGGATCCGCCCCGACTTCTCCATCTGATGGACCGACTTGGCCTCGGGTCCCCATGCCAGGGTTGCTCACTTGGCTGTGCGCCAGGCGACCAGCGACCAGGACCGCAGTCTCCCCTTCACCCTCTCCTGTCCACCAGGGAAATAGGGTGTAGACATCTGTGCCCGCCTCGACCCGTGTTCCCCGCGACCCCGCAGGTGCCCGGGTCCGTGGCAGTGTCCCCAGCGCCCCGCGCGCGCGCTTGCAGAGCGGGGCGGGGTCTGAGGAGCGCGCCCCGCCCCCCGACACACCCCTCCGGCCCCCGCCCGGCGGAAGCCCCGCCCCCGCCGCGCGCTCCCCGCCGGCGGCGCGCGCGCCCGGCCCTGCTCCCCGCGCCCGCGCCCTCGCACCGGGGCGGGCTCGCTGCGCGTGCCGGGCAGGAGGCGGCGCGGGCCGGCGCGGAGAACGTTCGCCGCGGGGGCGGCTCCGGGGCCTGAGCCGGCGCTCGCCGCTGCCGCCGCCGCCTCAGGCGAGGGGGGCCGGGCCGGAGACACCGTGGAGGCTGCGGCCGCGCGGAGCCCTTGCTGACGCCCCGAGCTTGGGCCGGGCAGCGAGCCAGGTGTGGGGGCGTCGGCGGGGGCTGCTGCGGGAGCCGGGGCTCGGCGATCGGGGGTGGCTGCAGCGGGGCCCGGCTGTGGCGGGGGTGTCGGGGCGCGCGGCTGCTGCTGGCCGAGCCGGCCGCGCGGGGCGGGGGGCGAGCGCGGCAGGTCCTGGCAGCGGGCAGGTGAGGAGGCCAGGCCCTGGCGGCCTCGGAGGGAGTCTTTGCCTGGTCGTTCCCGAAGCGCCGCTCGCTTGGGCGGCCTCGGAGGGAACCTGCCGGCTCGGGGCCGCCGGGTCGGGGAGTCCCCCTGGGCCCGGGCCCGGCTCCGTCGACGGCTGCCCATTGGCACCGGGTCTGCATGGGGGTCTGCTGCGGGTGAGACACAAAGCAGCCGGGAGTCGCGCGGCCGGCGCCGGGTCCTGCGCGGGTCTCTGCGGGATGTGGGGAGCTGGAGGTTGCGGATTTGTGGCGTGGAGCGGGAAGGTCTCACAAGGCTGGGGGCGGCACCCAGGGGTGGGGGTGGGTGATTACAGGAGGAGAGGGGACCCAGGAAACTTGGGAGGAGAAAGGAAGTTACCCCTCTTGGCTGGCCGGACTGGGGCAGTGCGCCCCTTCCCCGCTCGCAGCCGCGGGTGCGGGAGGGATGGCGGTGACTCCTGGAGCCTTGGGCAGGCAGCGGTAGGGCTCGGCTTGCGTGGTACACAGGGTCTGGTGCTGCAGATGGCCTGGGGACCTCCGTGTCCCTCGAAGTCACGATCCTGGCGGCGCGGTGGCCCAGGGCCAGCACGCGTGTTGCCTGCCCGTGGCGGGCTCCTGGCCCCGGGGGGCCTGAGATCAACTCTCCCCTTTCCCTCCCCATCTTCTGTGCCCTGAGCGCTTTTTCTCCCTCTGGAGCTCTTGTCTGCAGCAGGAGCGCGTGGTGGTGATGATGTGGGGCGGTCTCTGGGCTGCCCAGTCCCAGGCCGCTCTTGGAGTTCTCCGGGTTGCAGTGCCTGATGGGTTACTTTGTCTGCCAGGTGAAAACTTGACCTTTTATGAGTTCTCTGAGGATTTTTATCAGACACAAGTGGAGTTGCCTTGGTGTGGCAGCGAAGGGGGAGTGTTGTGCACTCAACGTAGTACTGGCAAGGTTTTGGGGTGTCTCCTGTGCTAGACACAAAGTTTCTACCTAGAGTCGGGAAATTAGACGTAGAACCAGGAGCATCTCACCTTCACACTTACTTGCATCTTTGCTGATAACTTCTCAGAGTTTGTGTCCTGGGCACTATTAGCAGAGACCTGGCATCGTGGTGTGAGCCTTGAGCAGGGTTCTTTTCCCCTAGGACTGAGAGCTAAGGGTGCAACCAGCAGGTGTTGGACAGTTCCTGTTTGAGGGCATCTCGTTTCTGCAGTTTGGGACGAAACTTCTGGACTCTCATCACCCCATGTTCTACTCCATGGAAATGAACCTCATCTCTGTACAGCCTACCTGTACTGCAGGACAGGTGTTTCTCATGCGCAGTCAGATGTTTTAACCACAAAACTTTTAACCACCATCCCAGGCAAGCTATGGAAATTTCCACCTCTCTAGAAAAGTTCCCTCCTGCTGGTTTGCAGTCCCTCCCTGCCCCCTCTTTACTTTTTTCTGATTACATCTGGTTGTGCCAGGTCTGTGCTGTGGTTGCCCGGTGCGTGGTGCATGGCGGTGCCTGCAGCGTGTGCTGTAGACTCTGGGCTGTGCTTTGGAAGGCACGCTTGCAGGTCAAGGATCCAGAGAGCACAGACAGAATAAGAGACCCCCCTGCTGGCGCATCCCCAGCAGCTCCAGGCTCCCAATGACTCTTCCAGACCTTTCTCTGCATTTCCGTGTGTATGCCGTGCTCATGGCCCCCTAACTGCATGTGTTTGAGACTTTTCTGCGGTGGGAGGTAGGGAGCTTCTGGAGCTTTCCTTGCTGCCTTGTCCCTTCTGACTGGCACAGCATTGGAGTTTGTTAAACATTTTCTTAGTGGCCATCACCATAGTGAACGATAAAGAAATGCTGGGTTAGAGCAGTTTGCATTTTTAAATCATAGTTGGTGGCTGTGGACCTAGGTTGCCGTTTGCTTTTTTTTTTTAAAAAAAGATTGAATTACTTATTTTTATTTTGAAAGGTGGAGTTACAGAGAGAGAAAGAGAGAGCAAGCACTTTCTTCTCCTGGCTCACTCCCTAAATGTCTGCAATGGCCAGAGCTGAGCCGGTCTGAAGCTAGCAGCCTAGGGCCTCTCTCCGGGTCTCCCCTGCAAGTGCAGGGGCATAAGGACTTGGGCCATCCTCTGCTGCTTTTCCAGGTCACAAGCAGGGGGCTGGATCTGAAGTGGAGAGCTGAGACATGAACCAGTTCCCCTATGGGATGCCAGGGCCCCATGCGAAGGATTAGCGTGCTATGCCACTCGCCCCAATGACTCTTTACTTTGACTTGGATTTGGTTGTTGTCAGTTTTCACAGGAACACGTGGGCTGCTTTGGATCTGAATTCTTTGAGCGATGTACCTGTTGCAGATGCATCTCGCCTGTCTTTGGCTTTCTCTTTCCAGTGTTTTAAATTTCAGTGTTGCAGTTATAAAAAATTTCCCTTAAGTGGCTTGTCTTTTTCATGTGTCTCTAGTTTAAGAAAATTTCCTTTGCTTCAGGGTATGAATTATACTCCCTGTATTTTCTTTGGAGAGTTTTAAAGTTTTCCTTTTTATGTGGAATCTATATCTATGTGTGGTATACTGCAGAAGTATAATTTTCTTTTCAATTCAGATAGCCATTTTTTTTTGCATTTTCTAATTTTTATTACATAAAAATACATAAATCTCATCATTTCAACTGACTCTTTTAAAGCAGTTTGCTAACTTGAAAAGCAAACTGACAGACAGAGAGAGTTTCTGTATTGATTCACTGGAGCTAGGAACTCTGTCCTGCCCCCCACATGGTGGCAGGGCGTTACGCAGGTGGAGCCATCTTCTGCCTTTCCAGGCACGTTAGCAGGAAGGGTTAGGGCTCGATTGGAAGCAGAGACTCAGAGGTTGGAAGTGGCAGTCTTCAGTATGGGCTGCCAGCACCACATGTCGCAGCGTAACCCCCTGCATCACAGCACTCCTCGCCTTTCCAGCTCGTTTTAGGCACACAGTGCTCTGGCATCCAGCATGTTCAGCTGCTGTGCACTCCCTTTTTGAAATGCTGTATCCGCTAAACAGGAATTTCTCCTCTGGTCTGTGCAGGGTCTCTGGTAGCCGCCGTTCTGGCTTTCTGTCTGCAGTAATTCGGCTGTCCTTCAAACCCCCCAAGTACATGAATCATGTAGTGCTTTGTGCTGGTTTATTTTGCTCAGCATGTCTTTACAGTTCATTTGTATTGTAGCATGTGTCAGTGTTTCCTTTTCAGGGCCAAATAATCTCTTATTGTATGTACAAACCATATTTTAAAAAATATTTATTTTATTTTTATTAAAAAGTCAGATACACAGAGAAGAGGAGAGACAGAGAGGAAGATCTTCCATCCAGTGATTCACTCCCCAAGTGGCCACAACAGCCAGAGTTGAGCTGATCCAAAGCCAGGAGCCAGAAGCCTCCTCTGGGTCTCCCACATGGGCGCAGGGTCCCAAGGCTTTGGGCCATCCTCAACTGTTTTCCCAAGCCACAAGCAGGGAGCTGGATGGGAAGTGGGGCCACTGGGATTAGAACTGGTGCCCATATGGGATCCTGGTGGGTACAAGGCGAGGACTTTAGCCACTAGGCTACTGGGCCAGGCCCTACAAATCACATTTTGGTGAAACATTCACCTGTTGGTGAACATTGGGGTTGTGTTCACCCATGGGTGTTGTGGCTAATGCCACTGTGAGCCCTGATGTACCAGCTGCTTACCTCTCTGCCTTCTTTGCTTTTATGTATGTGCTCAGAATTGTTAGTGAAACGTTTTTAAAAATAATATGCCTAAGTGAATAAAAATACATCCTTATAGCTGACTAAAATGGGTGAATTGTATAAAATGTTTCCATGCATCTCCTGTCCCCTGTGAGATTTCCAGTATTAATATCTTGTATGATGCATTTGTTCTAATTGATGAACCGTTGGTGATACATTATTGCTAACTGAAGTCCACAGCAGAGGTCGGTTCACCCTGTTGTATAGTTCCATGGGTTTTGGCAAATGGATAATATGTGAAAGTAGTGTGTCCAATTTCATGATAGTACCATACAATATGATGTTACAGCCCTAAGACTCTCTCTTGCTGTACCTGTTCACTCGCCTCTCCCTCACTCTAAGCCCCTGGCAGTTACTGATCATTCCCAGCTACCTTTTCCAGAGCGTCATGTAGTGGGAGCATTATGGCACGTGACCTCCTCAGACTGGCTGCTTTTGGTTAGCAAGGTGCCCTTCGATTTCCTTCATGTCTTCCTGTGGCTGCATGATTTATTTCTGTTTAGTGCTGAATAATGTTGTGCTGAAGTTCCACAGTGTTTATCCGTTCACCTGCTGAAGGGGTCTTGGCTGCTTCTGGTGTTTGGCAGTTCTAAATAAAGTGGCTATAAACAGTGTATAGATTTCTGTACTGATGTACGTTATTTTTATAAAAGAATGTATTTATTTTTCCTGGAAAGTCATATATGCAGAAAAGAGGAGAGACAGAGAAGATCTTCCGTCTGCTTATTCACTCCTCAAGCGGCCACAGTGGCTGGAGCTGAGCTGATCCGAAGTCAGGAGCCAGGAACCTCCTCTGGGTCTCCCACATGGGTACAGGGTCCCAAGGCTTTGGGCTGTCCTCGACTGCTTTCCCAGACCACAGGCAGGGAGCTGGATGGGAAGTGGGGCTGCTGGTACATGTACTGGCGCCAGGAGGACAAGGAGGAGTTATCTTTCGTTGGTTGGTTCATTCCCAAATAGCTATGGTGAAGTGAGGTGGAACGGAGTGTGTGTTAGTATTAACAGGGGTGTGTGTGTGTGTGTGTGTGTGTGTGTGTGTGTGTGTGTGTGTATTATTAGGAACCCAGAACCCAAAACCCAATTCAGGTT